TCACTATAGTCCTAATACATGAACACAGTGTCTCAGTTGAACATGGTAATGATGTTGAACCAACAAATCCTCTTTTTGAACCAGTTTGAGGGCCATCAGCCTTCCTAGCCTGGTTGTTCTTTTATCGGTGTATGTGTATGTGGTGTGTGTGTGTGGCTTGTGTGTGTGTGTGTGTGTGTGTGTGTTTTTGTGTGTTTGTTGCACTGCTGTTTTCGTCACTCGAAAGGATTGGGATTAATCTTGTGTGTCCTGTTGGACACAGTAGTTAACGCATGGTTACCAGTACTGGCTGGCTATGCAGACTCTCTAGTGTGTCCAGATAAAACGGTGGAGGTTTTGCCAAAGACATAAGGACATTTTCTTGTTAAGGTAGGGATTATATATTGTGTGTTCTGTTGGACACAGTACTCTGGACCCATGGGTACCGATACCACTGTGCCCGTACTGGCTGGCTAAAGAGACTTGCTATCAATAGTGTGTCCAGTTGAACATGGTAAATGATTTGACCAATCAAATCTCTTTTTGACAGTTGAGGGCATCAGCCTCCGGCTGCTTGTTCTTGCATGGGCCCATGTTACAACTTCCAGATGGCGGCTACCGGTAGGGTCCCCTCAGTGGACTGGTCACGTTTCCTTTTGAGTGCCCGTTTGAAGTTGCCAGGAAGCACACTTGATCTGGATTGTTCAACGCCGGGGGAGAGCACAATGAGAAGACGATGAACACAAAGCGAATGGACAATGCCATGATTCGAACTGCCACTGGACAGTTGCAAACAAACCCGATGTTGACGATGTTGACGATATTGGATACCCAAACCTGACTCGAGTTGGAAGCACCCAAAGAAGATTCCGGGTTGGATCTCACAATCCAAAATCATAATAGGCGAAGATCACCATCAAAGATGAACGGAAACTATCACTCGCATCTCTCGTCATCCGCTTGCCCATCGGGACGACTTTCCCCACATCCTCACAGCCACAATCAGTTTCCATCGTACCAGGACCTGAAAGAGGCATTTCTCAACACGGAAGATATAATGGGGGGAATGGCTGCTCAGCAAGTGTTTCAGAAGGTGGAAGAAGTCGTGGAAGAAATGGTTCAAGACATACTCCTTGAGGGAACCGGCGTTGAGGACCAAGAAATGGCATCCGACCAAGCAGTTCCGGAAGAAGCAGCCATGGGACTGCTGCTTCTATTGAAGGGCTAGAAATTAATATGACATAGCTACAGTTTTGCAACAAGAATCTACAATAGCAAACAACTAGGTGTTCTCAATAGTTTAGATTTGACTGCGAAAGAAGTCGGCTTTGACAACACAGCAACCCTGCCAAGTGCCACTCAACACAAAACCAATATCAAACTATGTACTGCTGGTGGTTGTTACATCACGGTGCACCTGTCGCACATTGATGTTGATTCGGTGTTGCCCAAGGAATGTTTTTAGCGCTTTTTGGTCTTCTTCTGTCAGGTGTTCCCGGTCCGAACCGGACCTTCCCGTGCCATTTTCATGTCCTTGTGAAAGCTTGCTGCTCAACAGTTCCCTCGTCACCTGACCACTCGACGAAAAGTCCTTTCTCTGGCCACCACTACCATTTGAATAAATGGCATAGTCTTGCGGTAGCAACACTCGTGCCATTCCATGATAATTCAATCGAGCATCCCCTCCCAGCATCATGACATCCCCCGGTCGGACCAGTATGGGTATCACTGGCTCATCGGATTGTTTGCATTTTCCTCCCAATAGAAAAATGGCCGGCAACCCCAAGCTGATGGATACCACTGGTTTATCCAAGGCGTATTCAAGATCATCCCGATGCCCGCCCATGACGGATTTGGTATTGTAATAGTTCACAATGCTGGCAGAAGGAGTGAATTGTTGTTGGATGCGAGCACTACTAGTGGAAGTCAGTGCCAAGGATATGCGAGCAAACAACAGGGCCACATCCTGCAACAATGGGGGCATGGGAGATTTTTTGCCCTCATGATAGGATCGTTCTGTCCAATCATAGTGATATCCAGTAGTAGCCCAAGATAATTTCCGAAACGACCGGTAGTATTTTGGAGTGCCAGATTGATTCTGTTTTCGTTTTCTGGTGTGTGGATTCTGATTATTTTGTGATGATGATGACTGTTCTGCTTTCCATATACTCCACATGCTTTCTTCCTGTGTGTTGACTTTTTCGGATGGCTTGGGCGGTAACAAATCAATGTTGGTAGCATGTGGCTGTTCACAGTATTCCGTCACAGCCTCAAAGGCCAATTGCTCTTGCAGGGCTGGTGATAGGGCTTGTGGAGCCATGGCAAAGCCTGGGTAGTCCGTCAAGCCAAAGAGAGGACCCTGATAAAGGATGTTTTCGTCATCCTTTTTATCCAGCCGAATGATACGATCGTCCTGCCTCTCATCATTCCCAACAAAATCCACAAATCCCGGAATATTGGCAATTTCCTCAGCCGGAGCTTGTTTGCATTGCACTTGAACTCGCTTGTAGATAGACCATTTCTGTTCATTCGATGCAGTCGATGCTGTGCCGGACACTCTGGCTGATGGTGCTTCTGGGGAAGAAGGGGATTCCATTTTGCCACCGATCTCGGTCCATGTTTTGTGTTTTCCAGTGAGATGACAGAGCGGGATCTTTGAGACACAGCTACGTAGCTATGATAGCTCCAAAAGAATGGCTCGGATTGTTCACTCCTTCGGTGAAGATTTGCAGGAGACGGCCAGACTGAACTTGATTGTTAGTGCTTGGGGTAAACCTGCGTTTGCTGTTGCTGGCTATTGTTCTTCCTCACATAGTGTAACATTGGACACATTATTACCCAGATACCCAAGTTTTCGGTGAATCTTCCAAAGTCGCCGACGGCCCAAGATACTGCCAGGTAGCGGTACTAGTACCGTACATTCCCAGTTTCATGGGGAGCAGATACCTTTACCGTACATCACGAGCAAGCTCTCTGCTTTGCTCACAAAAATACGAGTAGTCTAGTTTGGAGACAAAAACCAAAAACTCGATGAGCCATGAGCACTGGAGGCCTTGGGTCTCAAATTTCCAAGGGACTCGACTCATCACAGCAGAAGGCTTTTCCTAACACAACAAGGCATTGGTACTTGTCTGAGTCACAAGCTCTGAAAGACCTGGGTTGAACTATGTTGAAGGTGGAATCCACGGACAAGACATCTGGCTGCCATTGATCTAGTGGATGCCAAGGTAGTTGTGTCAACCTTAAGGAAAATGCAATCTTGGAAAAGGCACTGGGATGATGTGACATGGGCCCATTCTATGGAGCCTTTCTTCTTGCTTTGCATCTTCTCGGCGAACCTGCCTGTGGGAACCTTGGATTGGATCTGAGTGAAGCGGCCACTTCGTTGGGAGCCAAGATAAAGACTCCGGGGAAACTTTGAAAGATGTACCAGGCATACGCATCTGGCTAGCCAGGAGCATGTGTTGCCAGCATACTGTACTCAAAATGATCATTCCGAACGCGACGTGACACCTCAACCAATGAGAAAACCAAGCCTCTAGAAGGCAACAACGACTTGTATAAATCAAAGTGTGCATGTTAGTAGTGTTTAATCTCTAGTACTAGTCTACAGCTAGCCATGCATGCATGCATGGAGGGACGAGGGATCATGACCAGTCACACAAGGTTTCCAAATGCGCAGCGGAACCATCCCTTAGCCAACCATCCAGCTGCGAAACGTCCTTCAGCTGGCTTCCTCTATACCTCGGGACAACGTAGAAGTCGCATTTCACTTCTTCCAGTGACGACATGTCAGACCACAACTTCTCGAACTGTGCGGTTGGAAATACATCCTCTTGCCCGTTGCCCCACCGCTTCTTGACTTCCTTCAATGCCGAGTACGTGGGAAGACGAAACGAGAACACATGCACAGCCTCTGAAACCTTGGTAGCATCCCCGAGGTCCGATCTTTCCAAGCCCAGCACCTTCAGCAACTTGTCAACGTCGATCCATGTTGTCATCGAGTTGTAGTATGTGAACTTGAATTCGTCTTCCTCTCGTGGCAAAGCCAAGCCTTCAATGAGCCTCGTCTTGCCATTGACGCTGGCAAGGCCGCCTCCGACGTCCTCAATCTTTCGGGGGATCACCTCGAAACTTAGCGCCGTGTCCTTGGACGCAAACAAACCGAGCAAGCCAGGATCCACGTCTGCCCCAACCGTATCGATATTGTGCAGCATCAAATATTTTAACTGAGGACGATCTTCTAGCATTTGCTTCAATGTTCCATTCAACAACAGATTGGGAATTTCGTAAAAATGGCCTACAGGGTGAAGACACTGAAGAGGCAGATTGTCGCGATAGTCGGACGCTTCTCCAGTTGATTCAGCCCAACCCAGCAACGCTTTTTGACCACTTTCTCGGACCTTTTGCGCCTGCTCGTCCAGTTTTGGCTGTTTCTCCCAAGAGAACTTGAGGTCGCTGCCTGTGGGAACCAACCGAAGCCCCATTGTCTTGCCCTGAGAAATGTACATGGGTCCTTCATATCCATGCTTCTCGACACGATCCAAGTAGGTTTCCAATGCCGAATGCGTCATGTAACTTGTCGTAATGACGTGAGGAATGGATGTTCCCGTCAGCCGCGAGATGCGTCGGCTCTTGGCCAAATGAATTTCCAAAAAGCTCCGATGACGACCCGCCAGCTTGCAGAATGGATTAATGGCCTTGACACATCCGGCTCCCTGAGTCCAACGCGAACCGACTCCTGCAGCAAGCGATACCACAGCAACCGTGCCCTTGCGAAGTTCCTCCATTCCCAGCTCTTTGATTTCGGGAGTAATGACGCTTTCATCCGTAGTCAAAATGACATCTTCCGGTGGTGCATTCTCTAGCTTTGTCTCCAAAGGCAGGCGATTCTGCTTGAGTCCAATCAGACCGCTGCGATAATCCTCTTGGATCTTTTCATGTCCAATGAGATCAAAACCGAGCTCTTGCAAGAGGTCATCCAGACCTTGATTGTGTCCGTTGACGCCATTGGATGTTTCTTCCACGTTGACTTTCCATGTGGGTGGTTCCTTGGCTTCGCACCATTTGGCCTTAGTACCGTGATCATTGATTTTGAAATCGTACACGACGGGGTCCATGGCAAAGGGCAACGCATGCTCCAGTTCCCCCTTGGCGGCGAGCATGATTTCCTGCATTTCCACCAATGCCCTCGGTTTAGCCTCGGGTTTGAAAATGAATCCCATACCACCGCCACTGGCTCCTCCCAGCATCCAAAATCCCAAAAAGTCCTCCCCGAATCGTTTCCGTGTTTGTTCAATCAAGGTTTCCGTGTACAAATTGGATGCCCACGGAATAATGGTCTGCAACGGTTCGAAAAAGTTGCGTGTGGTCAATTGTGCCAATTTTGGAATATCATTGTCTTTAAAGACTTGCAATATTTCATCCAAAATATTCAATGCATCACGACGTGCGGTCCATTCTTCGGCTTCTCGCAGTAGATACTTTTCCGTGACCATTTCCAAAATGGGTCCCACATTCATGGCCATTCCACCATGCACTAGCACTAAGTGATCCTGTAATGACTGTGCCAATTCCGCCGGTGCTTCTTCGATTGTCAATTGTCGATGTTGTGGCAACAATCGTCCTCGACTGACTCCATGTTCGGGATGTCCTTCTTGTGCCGTAACTCCTTGAATCAATTTGATGCCGGGCCAGACACCACCGGAATCCTGCCATCCACCACCGGATCCACCCAACCATTCGCCCAATATGGCACGTGCCGCCACGAGACGTCGTTCTTCTTCGGTCAGACATCCCGTCATGGACGTGGTTTGTCCCGTCGCTCGCATACCGAGTGCAATAATGGATGCCAACAAATTGGTAGAAACGGCCAATCGGGAACCCTTGGGAATGTCATTGACCCGTGTCGTCAAATGCAATCCCTTATTGGGACCAATCGTAGTGGCAAACAATTCGGCCAAGGAGGCTGTGGAATGTTCCAGTCCCAACGGGACAATGCCAGCCGCAATAATCCCCGCTCGCAAGAGTCCGAGATAATCGTTGCAAAAATCAAATACTTGGGAAATATGTGTCAATGTGACTTGACACTTCAAATCGATACTGGTCAATATGAGTACGGGTTGATCAATGACCTGTAAATAGCAGTCAATGGGCGGCATGGGTTCGTAATCGTGACGTCCTCGTACGGCCAAATCAATGGACACATTGAGTACCCGCGCTCCTTCGGGAAAATCCATTCCCAAGAAAAAGATATCGGACCATCCACAATGACTCAAATCCATTCGCACTGGCGTTTGTTCTTGCAAAATTTTCCCACTTTCCAACATGACGGGTTGGGGATGATTTTGCGGTAGATCGACTTGGTACATCCACAAATTTCCCGGATGATTCTTGACGGACAATCGTACCTGATCGGCCAATGTCTGAAATCCCAAAAAGTAATAGGATTGTGCCAGAGCACTGGAAATGGCCTTGCTGTATTGTTTTGTGGTTGTCGTAGTAGTTTGAATGGCCAAGAAGAACTCATCAATGGCTTGTGTGAAATTGCGATGACAGAGATGTTGGTACCCGCCATAAGGGATATCAATTCCAGTATCGGGCAAATGCCGATCCAAATGAAAGCGATGAATGGCATAGAGAAAGAAACAGGCTCTCACTTTTTCATAGAGATTGTCGGACGAACGACGAAAGTTGTCCAATAACTCGCATTCTTTTAGGAGACAAGCCAAGTCGAGGGGCGCACAAAACTCGGCCAAGGAGCGATTGCGGATATTGGGGTCCGCCGACACAATGATATCCACAGAAGATAATTGCATGGTAATACAGTACTGTAATGTAATGTAGTAAGCGGTGGTAATGGTACTTCTTGTGGTTGTAGTTGCTTTGTTTTTATAGGGAATGACGATGCAACAAAGTGTTGGTTGTGAGAAAAAAATGCTGACGGCCAATTTTGGTTGACTTCGTGGCCAAAGCCGCGGGTTCGGCTGGCGAGAAAGACATTCTGCTTCTCCTTGGCGATCTTGTCTCGACCACGTCACACACTTCGATAAATATACTTCTTTTCATTCTGAGAAGAACGCTCGGGAGGGTCATTCGAGAATTCTATCATTAAGCTTGCAGAAATGGGAAAACATTGGAGAAAATCTTGGGACTTGAAGGCAAAGGCCTCCCGACGCTGATGAAAATGAGACGCTCGGGAGGACCGGGAGACACACTGAAACGAACCAGGGACAGCAACGTGGCAATGGTGGTTCTTCATAATGTAATGTTACCCAGCAATTGTCATGTGCCTACCATCTATGAGCAACAACATTAGAGAAGATGAAGAGAAGATAGCCAGCAGAAATGAGGATGAAGGGAAGGAGATGCAGATGACAAGGAAAAGAAGAGGACCAGCATCCGTGAACAAGAATATTATTCAGTTTCCTTGGCTGTGTTTTGCTCTGGTTCTGACAATGGCGGCTGCTGCTAGTCACCAACAACAACAAGAACAACAGCGGAGACAACTGGACGTTGTCGACAACGGCGATCTCTTGCGTCCATCCATCACTTACAGACCTGCGGGTGCACCTGCCACACAGCCCACTCCGGGAATCAATGGCATCAACATCAATCTGCCATCCAAGACCAACAGTCCCGTGCCACCGCCATCCACCATGCCACCCATCAGTACTCCACCACCCACATTCACAACTCCTGTCACTCCAAAGCCCACAACAACAGAAACACGACCACCCAACAACAACAACAATCCATCGATTCCGGGTGCCGAAGCCACGGCCACACGACCACCCAGCTACACTGCCAACAACAACAATAATCAACCAAGCAGCAACGCCGTTGTTGTGGCGGATGCCGATTGCGTGGCCAACATTGAGTTTGCCGATTGGAATGGGGATGGAAATTTGAATCGACAGGAATTTGTCGTTCTCGTCAATGTCATGGCAGATGAGATGATTGCTTCCAACTTTGATACTTTGCCACAAAATTTGCAAGCGCAGTTCAACATCATGGCAGATTCTGCCAACCAACAAATTGTGATGGAAATTCCAACCATGCAACGACGACGGCAACTCAACAACAATAACAACGTATTTGCGTCACGACAAGGCAATGCACCGGTATCCTATGGTACCATCTGTGATACTGTCCAGAAGGGTTTGGCAGGGGAGACAACCGTGACCACACCTGCTCCAACACCACCAGCAACAACACCCATGCCAACTCCACAAACTACAACAGCGACTCCTCAGACGACGCAAGTTCCAACAGCAATACCTCAGCTCACTCCAAGGCCAACTCCACCATCAACACCGACAGACCCATCATCTCCGCTACCAAACGACAGTGTTACAGCAGCCTGCGCCACGGCGCTTGCCTTTGCTGATTTTGATATGAATGGAGCACTGACAGAAAACGAATTCGTGACTTTTTGCAATGTATTTGGAGATACATTGGTGGCGACCAACTTTCAAGACTTGCCGCAAAAACTGCAAGATATATTCTCCAACAGCCGCGGATTGGATCTGGGGGGAGGAGGAGACATTATCGTCATGAACGATGCGGTAATCCAGTTTTGTCAAGATGTGCATACTGGATTATTGACCATCAATAATGATCAAAGAGGTTCCGACTTGGAGGAAACAGACTTATTCTCTTCCACTGTCCCATCAACAGTACCGTCGGAAACACCTTCAACAACACCATCAACAACGCCTTCTGTTGTCCCGTCCAAACCACCGGTTTTCGCACCCATTGCGGTCCTAGACATGACGACACCCATTATTGTGGTCCTAGACACGACACCACCACCACCAAGCCAACCAGAAAACAGTCGTGTTGCATTGATCCTGGGAGTGACCATTGGTTCCATATCGCTTCTCGTCTTGATGGCTATTGGTGTCTATCTTGTATTGCTTATGAGGACAAACAAGCAACGTGTTGTTGACACGGCCGCACCCAAGAGCGATGACACTGCCGGTAACCAAAACTAGCTAGCGGTAGCTGAGCGCAAGGGTATGTCAGGCTCATGGTTCTGGTTCACAAGGGCTTGAATGTGCGAGAACGCTAACTGGATGGAATGGGAGAGGGTTGGGAGTATGGGCGAGAAAGGGGACTGTGTGATGTTTGTGTTGTGCCGTCAGGGTGTGTATACGGTACTAGTATGTAGAGCGTTGGGAAACACTGTGCGGCATCAAGGGGATGGCGAGGGCAAAAGGAAGCGAAACGAGTCAAAGACTAACAGCTAGCTAGCTAAACCAAGAACACTTACGTGCATCGGCAGAACCAGGACCACCAGTTAGCTGGTATCAAGAATATCATGTCCAGAAGTTAGTGGGGTTTGGAAGTGTGTAATAAGAAGCTAATAATGAATTCAAAATTTTTAAAAAGTTGTGTGATGCAGACTAAAATGAGTGAAGAAAAAACCCAAGAGAGGTGTGGTACCGCATCAGATCAAAGGAACTCTGTGTTCTCGCCGATCAAAAGCAGCAGACAAAGATGGGGCTGCAGGGAAAAGGACGGCGCGGTTACAATTCAAAACTGGACCAAAAGGAAGGACAAAAGAGATGTAGGAGATGGAATGAATCAAAGGAACCAAAACTGGGATGGTTTGGATGGCGTTTTGCTGGAGATCACGCAAGAGAAAGAAAATTCTTACACCCAGCAGGAAACAGATGGTTGGGGGAGGGTCAAACGAGTTGGTCGTTCTTGTTCTTGACGACGACGGGTCAATGCCGGTATCCGCAAGTTCGGCCGAGGATCGTGGCTCTGATGTGCTCTGCTGCTTGGCAGGAGACGCAGCTGGAGACGGGAATCATGACTCTTACTGTCTCTTTTGGTGACAGACCGCTTCTTGGGTGCTTCTCCTTCGTCTTGTACGGTCAAGACCAAGCCGAAGTCTCGATGTCTTCGAGCCACGATACTGACCCATAGAGGGGAACGAGCAATCTGTTCGACCGCTTCTCTGGCATCCCAGTGTTGACAGGGAATGTGGTTGATGGCCACGATACGATCCTCGACCTGCAAGAGACCATTGGCGAGGAGTCCTTCGCCGTGTACTTGTTTGACCTTGAGGCGGTTCTGACGAGGGTTGTACATCAAGCCCACGCCCGTCTTGGCAGCAGGGTTGGGTTTACGCAAGAACGATTCGACGAGACTCGAATCACCGCCGGGATGTCGAACGACAATGGTGATTTTCCCAGTGAGGTTGGAGAGCAGTTCTGTGAGTTCTTCGGGAAACATGCCGCGACACGAGTGCATGTTGATGGAGACGAGCAAGTCTCCTACACAAAAGGGTGCTTGCGAAAGAAGACCCTGGTCATGGAGGTCGGAGATTTGCGGCAATCGATTGTGCCGCGGTTCTTGTTTGTGGCTCTTTCGTCGCCGAAACCTAGAGAAAGTAGTCTTCTTGCCTTCGGTGGGCGCATCCTTGTCGACCGTAAAGGTGACTCCAAACTTTTCGTGGATTGAGTGGCGCACGATGGTAGCACTGAGGAACTCGGGACGCTTCCAACCATTCTTGTCGTCCTCGTACATGCAGCAAGATTCAACTGTTTCCACTAGAGTGGCCACTACTTCGGGGAGGGAGGCAGCAGCGTCGACGATGATGGGAAGGGCGTGATCTGCCTGCTGCGGCGGCTGTTGCTGTTGACAGAGTGGAAGCGCCACAACCGCATCATGAGAGAGCTTGACGGCGGGGAGGTTGCCTTCTGCTTCACCAATCTGGTCAGATGGAACTGCTTCGGCAGTCACAGCGATGAGGCTTTCCCCACCACTGTTTCTTCGTCGAAAGCTTCGGCCAAAGCTATCATCCAGGGCATCGTCGCCATGGCTGCTGTCATCATCCATACAGTGAGCCGTAGTCTTGACCAGAGGAACGGTGGCCGGTGCCGTTTCCACCGCTACTTGTCGGCAGGTACAGGAGGAAGACCTTGTCATAGTTCAAGAGAAACAGAGAGATGTTATGTTGTAGGAAATGGAGGCGGCTGTGCTAATACCTCCAACAACAACCTGCAGAGGTGATGACAAGATGACAAGGGATGTGTGATAATGGACGGGAAACTCACTGAGTCGAGTCAACGAACGCGGTGTTTGTGGTGTGTTTGTGGATTAGGAGGACTGTCACTCGCGCTCGCTGTGCAGGAAGATACAGCAGAGTTGAGAAAGGTATTGGCTGGGTTCATACCTGTAGCGATCTTGGTGGCCACGACTTCTCCTGTCGAACCAATGGGAACCCTCTCGCTCCCGCCTAACCGCGATACAGCTAGCTAGGGCTCAGATTGCCAATTGCCGACTTACTTGCCAACTACCAGTGAAGAGATGCGAAGTTTGTCAATAGTCACAGTTAAATTGTTCTATAGAACTTTTAAACTGGGATCAGACATGATCATGGCAACAAATTGGAAAGACTGAAAGAATCTATTTGCTCGGATTCCTTCATCACTTCCACGTCAGTGTGACCCAAGAGCACCTGCTTATTGCACAGTTAACCGTTCTATTAAAACACTGATTCGCCAGCATGTCACCGACACTGCACTACGAATAGGTCCTTAAATCAATTCAATTAACGAAGTCCCCAGCGAATCTCTTCGGCTGGCAATTCAATAATGGTGCACTGACGAGGTGCATAAAGTGTTAACGGAAGTCCGAGATTTAGAGCTGATTATTTAGTCCAAGTCCATGCCATATGCATCCAGTCTGTCTTTCCCTTGCAAAGAAGGTTAACTATCCGTACACTCAGTTTCTGCTTAAAGACCGATGCGTCGCGATGGGCTTCGCCACCGGTATGCTCTCTACTGTACCAGGTTCTGGTACACGTTTAAACGTACATGTACCTGACCACTGGGAATAGCTGAATACCGCAGCTACGACTTCTACTAATATTAATTATAACTTTAAATAATAGCTCCACAGCTCCACAGCTCCACAGCTCTACCAAACAGGGCAGGGGTAGAGTCTACTGTACGGGACTGATCAGGGTTGTTCCTGACGATGGTCAACTACAATGTCATGTACATAGCTGGATGTACTACAGAAACAGTGACAGCTACCCTCAGCCCTCAGCGCGAACGGTTCCTATGTGCTCCGAAGAAGACGCCTGCCACTCTTCATTCATGTTTGTGTTTTGATCCTTATATCTCTCAGTCTCCACTCTTAGTTCATAGAGCCCTTTGATGCCTTTGATGTCTTAGTAAAGCTTGTCTTACAGCTTCCAGCTTTTCTTTGTCTTCCCATAGTTCCTAATAGTTCATCATCATGAAAACTTTAATTCGTAAATGTTCCTCAAGGCTGCACAGTGCACAATACTTTGACTAATTCTTCAGTACACCTGGCTTCTGTTTTGGTGCGGGTGTCTCCTACCGGTACACTCTTAATTAAATGACTCAGCTGCATGCATGTATGCACACTATTTACTAGACTATTTGAAACTTGAAACTTACTTTATTAATAAACTATTATTTTAAAAGTACTCTGTACGAACCAGGGTGTTGGAGGTTGTATTACAAACACCTCAATACAAATTAGTCGTTTATCCCAATCTAGTTGATAGGGGATATCTACATCTATTCTCTAGTTACATACATGGGGAGTTTAACTGATCTATATGGTCACCCCCTTCACTATATCCTTTGAAGTTGAATCAATCCCAGAAAAACATGGAGAAAGATCACTTCTTGGAAATAGCTTAACAGTAAAACAGTATTTTACCTTTACTAAGCTAGAGTGTTACTAGAAACCAACACTATTTCCAAGAAGTGATATCATCTCGAGTTCGAGTCAATGGCGACATCGATATCAAGTCAATCTTATATGAGCTACATGCTAAGGTAAAGACCTCACCAAACGGTCCAGACAGACAGTGCGGTAGCCACACTATAAGGGCTGCCAAAGCAGCTCAACAGGCGAAATTCCGCATCACGGGATCGCTGTCACGCAGTGACTACTACCAGTACACCAGAGGAAGCAATCGAACGACATCCAACCGGACTCAGTCAGATCCAAGTGTACTGCACGAAAGAGCATTGAAAACTAAACCATTTGCATGTTTGAATCGTATCCATTCAACAGAAACTGAGTGAGTTAGGACTGATCGAAGATTTGCTAATAGCAATCACAGAGGAGCCAAGGTCCCGGGAGTGAGCCGGAAGCAAACTCACAGGAGTGAGTGAACAACCGAAGACACCAAGCTCACAGGAGTGAGCGAACGGAGCAAGGATCCGAAGCAAGCTCACAGGAGTGTGAGCAAGAACCATCAAGACTTTGTGCTGCGCAACACAGCCATCGTATGACTGGAGATACACTATCCCAGTACTGATACGGAAAACAACTAAACGAAGAAGACTCGACTCATCACACGTTCGAAGTGCAGGAGTGGTCGCCAAGCTATCTAGCTAGCTACCACGACAAGTCCAACCGGAACGGAGCAATGCTCTGTATGGTACGGTACGGAGCAGAGGCTACTGTACGGACGCACCGAGCCTACAGGAGTGACACGAACGACAAGTTGTGTCAAACGAAAGAGGAACAACGCGAGTGTGTTGTCAACCACGGAAGAGGAACAAGATAACAAGTTCCAACAGGAACCACAGAGGTACTTCCGTGGGAGAGTCCCTAGCCTCACTATCAAGCCATCGAATCAGTGCCCATAGAGAAGAGGTGCAAACCTCCAGCGGCATGAAACAAACCAAAACTATGCCAGGCCGATTACTCGGCAACAACAGGTCCTACGGAAGGACTGTCATACAGGAAGTTGTGCTCTGAACACTAGCGCAACACGCCTCGAAGAGTGCATGCTGTCGAATCCAACAGCAGGAAAGAAGATTCATCCATCGGCGCATTCAAACAAGATTGAAAGAAAAAACCAGCGCCGCTGATGGCAACCGTGCATTGGCCGCTCGTACGGCAAATGACAAGAATAAAAACAGCGACTACTCCTAGTCAGTCGCTACCGCTAGTGTCAACAGCACCAGCATCCATCGGCAGCAAGCTGAACAACACGGAATTTTCGAATTCCACCAAGACAAGAACAACAAGTCGACGAACAAAAGATCGAATGCCCAAAGCTACCGCTACGGCGAAGAACAAGAACAACAAGAGTTCACTACTACCACTGCCAACCAACACTACAGCAGCAGGATCGACAACGCCATTGCGTCGATTGCAAAGCAACAGAAGAGTGTCGGCAGCAGTGGCAAGTGGCAACACAAGATTTTTGTGGAGCCTTTCCACGGAACGACCGAGAACAAAGAACAAGATCCCCTGTTCAGTGAAGGGTGACAACACACCGCTGAACGTCACAACGAAAAAGGTATCTTTCCGTCGCGAAAAGTATCTTTCCAGCAGGAGTGTACGGAGCCAGATATCAAGATCTCTCCGTACCACGGCAACAAGAGGATTCTCCGGCGAATCCAAGCATGCCACCGGTACAGGAGCTATCGGTATGGCGAATCCAAGCATGCCACCGGTACCTACAGGTGCTACCGGTGCAGGTCTACCGGTGCATGTCCTGAACCAGATAGCTAGCTAGCTAGCTACCGGTACAGAGCGAAGCACATCCTGTGCAAGCTACCGGTGCAGTGCAGCAAGCTATAGGAAGCACAGGAGTGCTTCCACCAGCATCAAATAATTTCTTTGGAGTGTGTATCGAGTTTACACTCAACACCTCCTACCCCTTTCATGGAGTGTGTATTGTGGCATTCCAGCCACAGCACCTCCTACTACCTTTTATGGAATGTGTATTGTGCAACTAATCCACAGCACTTCCTTCCTGATTACAGGCAAACCTGAGGCAACAACAGCCTCCAGGCAGGTAACAACAATACCATTACAAGTCTATGCCCTTGCTATTTGATCACAGCAAGTGCACAGGAGTGTGAGGGTACCCAAATCCAAAACCTACAATCCTACAAACAAAATCATCATAACATCCGCCTTTATAGGCAATGCCGCAACCATCAACGCCACCAATGGCCACAACTACATGGCCAACAACCATCAATGGCTACAACAACCGCCATCATCAATGGCAACAACAGCCAACAACGGTATCTACGGCTACCAAACCGATTACAATGAATCGACCAAACCAAATTCGAATTGCATCTACAATAACGGCAACTGCAACAACAGCAGAACGACAGTGAACGTTGAACCGAGTAGCTAACTACAAGCAACT